CATTTATATCACACCCGGTCTTTTCTCAATGTCTGCTTTTCCAGGGTATTGTCATATCGACAGCAGTCAGACAGGTGTCTGCTAATGAGTCTGAGCAATATTCCTCTTATTAATTAACCCTCCGATACCACCCAACATTTCATACTAACAATGCTGCTAATGAGCATAACTACATTATGACAACAGGCAAACACACCATCAATAACAATCATTTTAAGGGTGGCAACTCTGTCGGAGTGCGTCATAATGAATATTTGATGAAAATAATCAAATGCCACTCACTCTTAAATGTTATTGAAGACACGCTCAAGTCAGTGAGGGTTATTTCTTCTGACTGACATTTAATTTAAAGTGCTTTGTCAGGAAGTATTTTTTGCGCTTTTTTGCATGCATGCATTTCATTCTCTCAGGCAAATTCCTTCAATGTTTTCAGAATTACACACCCCAAATTTCACATAATAGCAAATTTAATTGTGATTGGTAGTGATGGCCGCTTACAAAACCTTTGTGAATCATTTGTTTCAAACCAGTCATTCGGAGCACATATCAAACAAGGCTTTATGTCATAACGGTTTCGAAATATTTAGAAATTTCAATGGTTTGCTGCTGCCCTGTGAGCCCATGATGATGAACCAGTGTCAATATGGATTTTACCTGATCTTGGATCAGTATTATCTGCATTTACACTGTTTTGACCAGCAGACGTCACCAATGTGTCGTTTTAAGTGCTTTGATTGGTTTCTTTATGTCATTCAGTCTTTTCAAGACTAAAAGTGCAGTCACAGCAAAATTTCACAGGGGAAAAAAAAGGTCCATTGTCTCAATAATAGTGTCGTTATATATAAAGCACGGTTCACACAAAACAGTTTATATTTTCTAACAAAGCAAGCAGCTTTCTGTTGTCAGTGTGATGAATTCAAGTGACCAAATTGAACATTAAAGGAACACTCCACTATTTTTGAAAATAGGCATTTTCCAACTCCCCTAGAGTTAAACAGTTGAGTTTTACCGTTTTCGAATCCATTCTGCGTAATATCATTGGGCCTGCTGCACCCATGGTATGGCAGCAAAGTTACTTGATTATTACGCCGGAATGAGAGTATAGTTTCTAGCCATATCGGCCTAGAAAATCCCAACTTTTCATTTTCCGTCGGTCTTAGTACACGATGTAACTACAGAAGAGTAAAGATTTAAATAGGAAAAATATAGAAACACTTTGGTCATTTCTATGCTAAGCTAAGCTAAAAGTATCATTGGGCCTGCTGCACCCATGGTATGGCAGCAAAGTTACTTGATTATTACGCCGGAATGAGAGTATAGTTTCTAGCCATATCGGCCTAGAAAATCCCAACTTTTCATTTTCCGTCGGTCTTAGTACACGATGTAACTACAGAAGAGTAAAGATTTAAATAGGAAAAATATAGAAACACTTTGGTCATTTTTGAGCGAGATGCTAACGGTCTAATCAGATTCAATGATCTATGCTAAGCTAAGCTAAAAGTGCAACTGCCAGACCCGGAGATCGGCTGAATCGATTCGAAAAAGTGTCCATTTAAAGGGTTATAGTTCACCCAAAAATGAAAATTCTGTCATTAATTACTTTCCCTCGTGTTGTTCGAAACCCGTAAGACCTTCGTTTATCTTCGGAACATAATTTAAGATATTTTTGATGAAATCTGAGGGCTCTCTGACCCTCCCATAGACAGCAAGGTAACTACCACGTTCAAGGTCCAGAAAAGTACCAAGATGATCGACCAAGTAGTCCGTGTGACATCAGTGGTTCAAAACGACTTTATTCCACATTTTCGTCTCTACTGCGTCACTTTGGATGCGCGTTCACGACAGTATCATGACGCAAGCATGTGGCGGCATGGAATAAAGTCGTTATTTTTGTTTTCTTTGCGCAAAAAAAGTATTCTCATAGCTTCGTAACTTTACAGTTGAACCACTGATGTCAC